TCCACCCGATCTGCCATCTTGTTTGTACTTTGCAACAGTTTTAAAATTATCTTTCAGCAACATTTTACTTGGGTGAGATATTAATGATGTTGTTCAGTGATTTTTGCATTTAGTTGGGTCACCTCTTTAGAATAGGCACAAACTTGGATCTCTTCCAGTCAGTTGTCCAGGTAGCTGTCTTCTAGTTTCTTAGTGTCGATGAGTGAACACTTCCAGTCTTGCATCCATCTGTTCACACATCTCGGTATTCTTTCAATTTCTCAGCCTTGTTTTTAGCCAATACCTTCAATACCATATAGGTTTTTGATCAAATGCTACCTTCTGAAATGGTTGAACGATAATCAGTTCTTTTTGCTGTAATGATTATGTGTATTCCTTTCATCTTGTTTTTCATGCTTCCTGCATCATTCAATATTTTGTCCATATGCTCCTTCAGTATAAACCTACCTTGCAGTCTAGTGCCTATCCCACAGCACCACACCAGGACTCTGGTAATGCTTTGGGTCTTGCAAAAAAAAAAAAAAAATTCTTTCATGTAATCTCCAGCATTGATTCTATCACCAAGGCCATAGTTTCCAATTACCTATCCTTCCTCTTTGTTTCTGAATTTTGTTTTCAAATCACCAGTAATTATCAGTGTATCTTGATTGCATGTTTTATCAGTTTAAGACTGAAGAAGCTGGTAGAATTCTTCAATTCCATCAACACTGACTTTAGTGGTTAGTGCATACATTTGAATAACTGGTCTTCCTTGTAGGCATATGGATATTGTTCTACAACAGATAGCATTATATTTCAAGACAGATCTTGAAATGCTCTTTTTGACAATGACTGTGATGTCATTCCTCTTCAATTTGTCATTCCTGGAATAGTGAATCATGTGATTGTCAGATTCAAAATGGCCAGTATCAGTCATTGCAACTAACTAATGCTAGGATGTTGATCTTTATGTGTTCCATTTCATTTTCTACGAGTTCCAGTTTTCCTAGATTCGTACTTCATGCATTCCATGTTCCAGTTATTAACGGATCCCTGTAGCTGTTTCTTCTCATTTTGATTTGTGCTCCATCAGCAAATTAAGGTCTCAAAAGCTTAGCTCCATCCACACCGTTAAAGTCAGTTCTACTTTGAGGAGGTAGTTCTTCTCCAGTTGTTTATTGAATGCCTTCCAACCAGATGGTCTCATTTTACGGCACTGTATTAGCCAACATTCCACTGCTTTTCATAAGGTTTTCCGTGGCTGACCCTTCAGAAGTGGCCTGTCACTCCTTCTTCCTTGTTGATCTTAGTCTGGAAACTCTGCTAAAACTTGTTCAGCCTGGGTGACTCCATTGTTATTTAAAATGCCGGTGGCACAGCATTCAGCATTACAGCAACACATAAATCATCACAGCACAGGAAACTGACAGATAAGTAGTGGAAGATCAACTTTATAGAGCTATAATTTATATACAACACAATGTACCCATTTTAAAGGTACATTAAAATATCATTTTCTATATACAGTCATGTCTTCTATAGGCATACTCTTACTTCTTTAAAATCAGTGTATCATTTATTCTTTCTCCTGATTAAATGCGTTGTCTATTCAGTAAGCATGTTCTTGAATGTAGAGTAGCAAAAGCGTATAGAAGAACTACTGTGCTGAACAGATGATATTAAACAGTAGCTCAAGAAGACAAAATGAAGCATTCCAAGGAAACATGCAAAGACCTGAAGTAAGAAAACAATTAATAAGTAAGACTGCAGAAGAATCAATGCATTTGAATTATGATATTGACTAAATATATTGAAAGTATGGTGGACTGTCTGAAGAACAAATAAATCTGTGTTGGAAAAAGTACAGCCAGAATGCTCCTTAGAAGCCAGGATGGTGAGACTTTGTCTCTCATACTTCTGACATATTATCAGAAGGGACCAGTCCCAGGAGAAGAACCCTATGCTTGGAGGAGTAGTGGGTCATAGGAAAAGAGGAAGACCCCCAACGAGGTGGGTAGTAATAGTGGCAGCAACAATGGGATCGAACATAGCAATTATGAGGATGGGACAGGATCGGGCAGTGTTGTGTTCTCTTGTGCATAGGGTCACTGTGAGTCAGAACCAACTCAACAACACCAACTTGATATTTTAAAAAATATTCTTTTGGTTGAAAAGATTTCTCCATTCCCTGAATGAAAACGTGATTGTCTCATGACTTATTTATTCATCGTCAGATAGTAACAGATCCTATGATCACTGAAGTCAATTATAGCTGGGACACCTGTTTTTTTATAGTTTTTTAAACACAGCCATACCCAATTGTTCCCGAATCATCTAAGGCCACTTAGGTGGTGTTGTTGTTAAGTGCCATCGAGTCGGGTCCGACCCACAGCGACCCTGTACAGGGTTTCCGAGGGTGTAAATCTTTACGGGAGTAGAAAGCCTCATCTTTCTCCCGCGGAGTGACTGGTAGTTTCGAACTGCTGACCTTAAGGTTCGCATCCCGATTCGTAACCACTACGCTACCAGAGCTCTGTCGGGTTGGGTAATTGTGACTGAGACCCTGATGTGTGAAAAGCCTAAACTGTTTCTTATCTGACCCATTACAGATGAAGTTTGTCATTCCCTTCTTTAGGTCATGAAATAACCCCAATTTTAAAATGACAGTGTTCATTCCTATATATTCATCAGTATTTCCATCTGCATTCAGTTGTGGGACATGATTTCTCGTCTCACTCCCCAACTCTAACTAGGACTTTGGGGGAAGCTGTGATTGTTGTCTTCCCTTTTCACTTTCCTCATCCTTCATTATCCAGCCGCTGTTACTGATCTTTGTGAGGTTGTGGCAAAGGACAAAAAGGCAGGAAGGGGGCGGGGATCAGCCATTCTTAGTGACTGGTACCCTTCTAAGATGGCTTTGGGACCAGCAGATGCTTAAAGCTTTGTCTCCCATAGATACCATAGTAGGTTCTTCAGAGCCTCTCCTCTTGGGCTCTCCTATTACAATTCCCATATTTCACTGATGTGTGTCTGGAAGTGGGACTTACAGTAAGCACAAATAGATCCTCTTCATAAAAACCTCTCTACTTGCTTATCTCCAATTTTGAAACTCTCAGGTTTTTGAAGAGGATTAAAAGCAAAAAGATGGTTTTCAGACGTTTCTCTTATAAATTATGGAATTTATATACATGGTGATATGCTTCAGATCTTGGTTGTAATTGTTTTTGCCATGGAGTTGATTTGAAACCCCCATTTTAATGTTCTGTTACACATAGAAGGAGTACCCCTTTTTGTCTGCCTATTTATTTTTAACCGTTGTCACATTGTGACTTTTAGCAGAGCATAAAATCTTTATTAAGTATTTTTACCATGGGCTTTGGTGATAGACTGATGGTTTCCCACCACTTTCATTTTTCCATACCACTTTAGTGGGTGTGGCTCCATCAACCTGTGAGCGTTGGTATAAGGATCAAGGAGATAATTTATATGAAGCTGGTGACAGTATGATGCACAGAGCAGGAGCTTACTAAATGTTTTTTCTTCATGAGAATTATGGGTGTTTTATCTTCAAGACCCTTTTTAAATTTCGTGTCATCTTGTGCAAGTAACTCAATTTCTATGAATTTGTTTCATAGTCTGTAAAAGAAAGGTCTGGCAATTGATATTCTCTAAGGCTCTGATGGCTTAAAGAAAAATGTTTCTAAAGTTCTTCTGTGGCATTTAATTTCCAAAGGAAGGTGTAGTTAAGTGGTTTTATTCCTGACTGTAATTATTATCACTTGATTGCATGAATGTAAGCTACCCTATTGTTAATCTTTTAGACAGTCTTGCAACTTTTGAATTGACATTGGATTGCCTCCAGGAAAAAAAGAAAAGTTTCATTTGAACAGACACAATCCAACATCATGGTTTTTTTTTGGGGGGGGGGGGTAATCTTATTAAAAATGATCTCTTTCTGGGGTACTCTAAAATAACTTGTCACTTTGTTAAAAAAAAAAAAAAAAGCAAGAAAAGAAACAGGCAGGCTAAAGAAAAGAAAAGAAAAGGTTTCGATGTTAATAGTACACAATGATATCCAGTGTGCCTGAGCCATGCTTAAAACTGTCCCACCCACGTCATACCAACATTGGGGATTTTGCATCCTTTTATCTATTGTTACTGTTGGGACCCATATGTTCATAGCATTAGTTCTTTTTTTCTTCTGAGAGTAAAGTTCTGGGTGGCAACTACAAATAGACCATAACCCCCTGAGGGAAGGATCTGTGTTCTCTGTCTGTCTGTCTTGCTTTTAGCATGGTGCCTACCATGATACACATATTTAATATAACTCTTTTGTCAAATACTTGATGGACTGAATCTCATATTAATACTTTATTTTTTAAGAAGTCTGTTAGAAAACTTGAGAGAAGAGAGGAAGTGGGAAGCAGAACATTCTTATAGTGACTTTGGGCCCAGCAGGTGTGTTAAGTTTCCTCTCATGGATACCTTAGTGGGTCCCTCAGAGACTCTTCTGTGGAGCTCTTTACTACAGCTCCCAGTTCACACTGCCTCTTCCACGCCTGATCATGGAGTGCCACTGCTTTTTCTCCTAGTTCTTTGAATACCATAGTCTAACATGGTTCCATTCCTCACCAACTTTAAGTGCAACAGAGCACTTTTCGTTTTAAACTGAGAGAGATGCTATATGAGAAACAGTTGATCAGAGGATGAAGCATGGAGAAGGCGACTGTGCGCTTGGATGTCCAGTTCATTTTCTACAGACAGCAGTACTGCTAGCCCCTGGGGATTCAAAGAATGAATCAGACATCACTTCTGCCCCTGGGAGAATGGACAAACTTTCCAGTGCTATACAACTTGTACTCTTACCACAGGAAACTGTACACTGCACAGATCAAGTGGGACTGCCTTGAGGTTTCTACTGTTTGGTTTTTGAAATGTTTATGAAGTGCTTGAACAAAACTAAACAAAACCCAACCTTGTTTGTTTTCTTTTCTCTATCACCTTTCACCCCACATATGCAGCTTCATAGTACAGCAACACAGCTGGCTGCAGAGCTATTGAAACACCATGCTGATCATGCGGTTTTAAAAGCACTAAAAATTACTGGAGTAGAAGGGAATTTGGAAGCTTTGGCTGAATATGCCTGTAAACTCTCTGAACAGAAAGAACAGCTCACTGAGGTGAGTAATAGGTTTGTAAGTTTGCTTGCTAAAAATTACAGTTTCATGGCAGCTATACTGTCATACAGGAATATTAACATGAATACAGTTTTTGGTTCTTATATAAGCATTTATTTTCCTTTCTTTTTCTGAATGTTAAACACTGAAGTTAATGCTTGTTATGGTATTACAGCATTTGACCCCTAAAACAAAACAGAAGAAAACTCTAGGCCCAACAGGTACACTTGTTGATCTTCATTTTCTTACCCTCCCAGAGAGATTAGGCTTTGGAGTATGTTATATGACCTTGATTCTGTTTGAACCTGTCAGGGTGTCACCAGGAAAGAGATGGTGCCCTCAAATTGCGATGTCTTACAGAGGACTCAATAAAAGACCTTTTGACAATGCATAGGCAGAGTGTTGGGACACCACAGTGAGAGCGCGGGAGATGGGGCTAATGATGGCAGAGTTGATACCACCCCAGGGTGAGTGAGTGCTTACTGAAACCTGGGGGAGAGGACTACCTTAAACTAGGCCCATTGACAGCCCAAGGTGACCCTGCAGAAGCATGGAGATACTCTCTTCATCCCTGCTGTTGTATTGCTGGAGCTTTCCATTGGCCAAACACAGGCCAGCCTTCCAAGGGCTAAAAGCAGGTTTGAGAAGGGAAAGGGGATATGGAGGGACAGAAAGAAGATACTTAGCATGCTTCACTGAGTCTCTTGTTCTGCCCACATCATTTTTACATGTTGGTGGTGCTTCACCAATTTAGGTTTGCCTTTTGTTATAATTCCAATATGCCTTATTAGTTAACATTCTAAGCCTTTTCTCTATAGAAAATGTCAAATATCTGGTAGTAAACAAAACAAAATAATTGACATGCCTTATATATACTGTCATATGTTTGTGATATATCCTTGTCAATGTATATATAAATGCATAAATATGGATGGCCTAGTTATCTTCCTGTTATCTAACAAACCCTGCCCATGGAATCTTCTGTACAGAGCAACCTGAAAACTGCTAGAGAACGTCCTTTAAATGACTGTGTTGTTGTTAAGTGCCAACTCATAGGGACCCTGGATAGGGTTTCCAAGGAATGGTGGTGAGTTTGAACTGCTGACCTTGTGGTTAGCAGTCCAGGGCTTATCCTGTAGCGTCATGCCATAAATGAATATAGGTAAATACTAATTTAAAAGATTTTTATGTCATCACCTTTGTAAACTAAGTATTATGAATATTGGGTAGCTGATAGTTTAACTGTGAGATCTTGGGTAAATCACTTATCTCTGCCAAATTTCTTCTTATATAAAATGTGTAGGCACTATTAGATCTTTTCAAAGATTTCTTTTGATTCTAATATTCTGTCACCATCTTGCCATGACTGAGAAGTAGAAATGATATGTTCTACTCTGTTCCCAGAGAATCTATTGGTAGCCAATATAGTGTTATAATAATTTTCTCAATAATGTACACATATATTTTTGTAAGGTTTTATGAATTTTATTTGTACTTTAAATTTGTTCTTTATTAGTATAATAAAATTATGAAGTGTGTTGGAAGAATGAGGATGTGAAAGTTGGACTATTCAAATGTCTTTTAGACCTGCCGACTATTGCGACATGTATCTGGGACGGAACCTCTTGAAATAACCTGTCTACATGCGGAGGAGACATTTCAGGTGACAGGCCAACAGGTATGATCGCCAGCAGATTGTGCCTTCTGTATTATGTCTTGTCTGAGTGCCATACACATTTTTGGCCAAACCTACTGAGAGAGATAAAGAGAATGGAATTTTCATAGGCTGTGTGCCAGAGCATCACTAACAATTCTTTGTCTTATTGGGTCATCAGCCAAATTGGAAACTGACCCATTAAACTGATGTCCTAGTGTCTGTTTTAAAAGAAGCGCAGTTTCTATTTTAAATGAAGCTGTTTATAATGAAAGTTGCTATATATATTTTTAAATTAATTTATCATTTTGTAACAAGCCATGAAAATACTCACACATTTTGATCCAGTAATTTCTAAGGAAGTAGGCGATAGTAATAATTTTTAAAGGAACTTTAATTTTTTATATTGTTGTTGCTGTTGTTATGTGCCATCAAGTCGGTTATAGTTGGTCATAGCGACCCTGTATAGGGTTTCTGAGGAGAGGCTGGTGGGTTTGAACCACTGAGATTGCACTTGTGGTCCAGTGCATTATCCTGCAACACCACACATCTTACAAAATGTTTATTATGTAATCTTTTGTAGTAAGATTCATTAGGTGTAGAATAACTCCTAATTTAAGCAAATAATATATTACGATTTAAAAATAGTAATTCTGAGAACCAGAATTTATAAACATGGAGTTTTATTGAATTGATTTAAACAATGGCTTTGTAGTACCTTGCAATCTCCAATGTGATTCTGGGAATTGTGATTTTGAAGTTCACACCTGTGTATGTTGTATTTCTTCAGATAATTGCTGCTGCCGAAACATTAACATTACATCCATCTAGTAAAATTGCTAAAGAAAACCTTGATGTGTTTTGTGAAGCTTGGGAATCGCAAATTAGTGACATGTCGACGCTGCTAAGAGAAATCAGTGATGTGTTTGAAGGAAGACGAGGTGAGAAACTGTCCACATATTAAAAAATATTATTTTAATGTCAAACGTAAATTGCAAAAGGAAGTGTTTTGTTAGAATGCAGCTGGGTTATTTTTACAGTAAGATACACTTCACAGAAAAATGGTGAAAATATTTCTCCTTTATTTTAGCATCTAAACAGTAAAATTTATTGTAGATTTCTTTAATATTAACATTCTGATTTCCCTGTGTAAATGAAGTCTTTACATTTCTTGTAAATTGTTTTTTAGTTTTAGTACAAAAGTTCTTGTAAGACAGAAATTTTCTGGCCGTTAACTTTGTAATGAAATGAATGTAGCCTTTTGATTTTTGAATTGCTTTCCTTCCACTTGGATGAAATCTTTCTTTGATGATTACCTAGTCTTGGAATATTTCCTGTGGTGGGTAAGTCCATTGGTATTTCTACAATATATAGAATAGCGCTATACAGTGTACTGTAAGGGCTCATTTTTATTTTATGATCAACTTGGAATTTGGTTTATTCCCCATTGTTCAGCATGTCCTGGTAGTTATGTTTTTGTGTTATGTATTTTTTCCCTTGGCATGGCTTCTGTTAGTTTCAAAGCATGCTTTTTTTGTTTTTTTGTTTTTAAGTATCATATGAAGTAAGAATAACATCAAATTACATACTTTATTTTTACAAAACATAATAAATATTTCATATATTTTTTTAAATACCTTTTTAGAATAGATATTGATATGCTTAAAAATCGGAATTATAGACTTTGTAATTATAACATCTTGTAGAAAATGTAATAAATATTTGCCATGCTTCCACGTTTAAAGATTTCTATCTATGATAGCTAATTGAGTGACATGCCTTTATGATACTCTAAAAGAGTATTTATAATTACACATGTTTTAATGTGGGCAAGTTCCACATATTACAAGATAAAGTGATACCGTTGATCCACATTTCAAGGAGACTGGTCAGTCAGCTGCAGGAGTTACTTAGGAAATGAAAAGAAGCAGCTCAGCATGGCGAAAAAAACCCTGGCTGGAGGGAGGCAGAGCATTATCCTCACCCAGAGTGTTCTCATCTCAGTAAGAAAGGAAAGGGGCTGTGTGATCTCAGAAGCTGCTGTCAGCTTTAAAAACATTTGTGAAAACTATGAATGGACCTCAAAAATTCTAGAGCTTTCCATTCAGTCCATTCCCCCTCCCCATACCTGAAGTCAGTACACCTTTGAGCTGGTGGGCCTAAGTGAGTCTTGGATCTGCCTGTCTCATTAAAGGTCAGCAGGAAATTGTCTTTTGGCTTTGTTGTTAAGTGTCATCAGCCATCAAAGAGTGTGGCTCCCGAGAGTGTCGGATAATGGCTCTCTAATTGCTTGTCCCTGTGGATTAATGCACTGGACTTGAATGTTTGAACCATAAGGTTGGTGGTTCAAGCTCACCAACCATTCCTCGGAAACCCTATGCAGGGTCACTGTGGGTTGGAACCTACTCGACAGCACTTAACAACAACACCACCAACAGTTGCTGTAGGATTAGTATTGGTCTGTGAACCACAAGGTCAGGTCAGCAGTTCAAACCCACCAGCTGCTCCTGGGAAATCCTGTACACGGTTGCTGTGATTTGGAACGGACTGTATGGCATTTAACAACAACAGTTGTCTGGATACAATCTGATTCCAGGCACTTGTAACAGTCTTCCATGTGTACTGTGGAAAGCCCTTCTAAACAGCAACCATCATTTCAAAAGAATATGGCCATCCAAATCTCTCCTTTACCAGAGCAGCATTCAGTGCAGTGTGGGTTTCTCTTACATATTTTTTGCAGTGCTGAATAAGCTTTTTATTATTATTATTCATGAAAATTTGCGGGGCGGGGGAGGGGGGAAAGGGTGTTGCCAAGTCATTGTGACTTACACCCTTTTTGTGTTCCCAGGCTAGAGAGTTTACCATAATCTGCAACTGGAATGGAACCTCAGTTCTTCTTTGTTCTAGTCTGTCTTTGGCTAAGATCCTTCTTTGTCTTCGTATCTGGGATTCTTGTGGTTTCTAAACAAGGCTGGTTTACCAGAATTTTCTTCTTTCTGTTATCCATTCTTCAAATTCTACAGAAAAGGAGGATTTATAAGAGTTTGTCTAATTTTTTCACCCAAGGAGGAAGGATAACAGTCATTCAACAATTACTGCTGGACCAAGCACTGAGTAGGAAATGGCGTTAAGAAGTTGATAAGCTTAAAAAGAATGCTTTTTTCCTAAAAACAACAATCAAAGCTCCTAGTGTCCAGTCAGTTCCTACTCATGCCAACTCTCTGTTATAGAACAGAATGGCTCCATAGGGTTTTCAATAGCTGTCGTCTTACCAAGCCCTTCTTCCTTGACTTTGCTCAATGGGTTCAAACCTCCAGTTTCAAGATTAGTAAGGGACCCAAGTGCCACTCAGGAACCTTTTTGTTCTATAAATACAAGTAGACGTTTTTCTAAAAGCAAGGGCAAAATGTTCCATTTTGGCCATAAATGTTAGCTGTCAGCATCATCATTTCCACCACTACCACACAGTAAAGCTAAATAGGCTACCAGAAAACACTGTGTCTCACTACATCTCTTACCTCCTAACACACCTCCTGTCCCTGTCTCCTCTCTTCACTCCTTGTTGCTCCATGTTGGAAGCTCTGACATGTGACCAGTAGAGACCAGTGCCCTGCATCTCTATACAAGGGAAACTCCTCCCTTCTCCAGGGGGAACGGGCCTCCTCAGGTGGGCGGTCTCTCCCACTGAACAGCTAGTGCAATAGTAATTCACTGCTCCCTTTTTCCTTTCTCCCACCTAAGGAAGGCCTCTTTGAAAAACAGCTAGGAAGGGTCACAGGCTACTATGAGTATTGGTGTGGCACTGTAGGATCAACACTGGACTGCTAACCACAAGGTCAATGGTTCAAACCCACCAGCCACGCCTCAGAAACCCTATAAAGAGTCACTATGAGTCGGAACCAACTCAATGGCACTTAACAGCAACTAGCGCATGTATGAATGAGTAATATCGTAATACTGATCTTTCAGTGGCATATGGTTAGAATAATACCTTAAAAATACCATCGATTGAGAACTTACTGTGTACCAAATGCTCAGTGCTGCATGTGCGTTCTCATTTAATTTCTCACTAGCCCTATGAGGCAAGTATTATTTCCACTTTTTACTTATAGTACAACTGAGGTGTGGAGAAGTTAATTTACGCAGGGTCCCACAGTGAGTAAACGACAGAGCAGGGAATCTAACTGAGGTCCAACTGATGCCACACTGTGATTTAAGCAGTTCATGCCACTACAGGGTTAATTCTTACCAACGTCACAGTGCTCCGGTGAGCATGAGCCCTCTGTCACCAGCACTCACTGCTGCTGCTCTGAGGTCTGCTGCTTTTCCCTCTCAGAACCATTCCAGAAAGCACTCGGAGATTCTGATCTCAGGCAATCCCAAAGGTAAATCTTTATGGGAGCAGAAAGCCTTGTCTTTCTCCCACAAAGCAGCTGGTATATTCAAACTGGTGACCTTGTGGTTAGTAAATGATGGCAGTGGTGGTTCAATGGTAGAATTCTCACCTTCCATGTTGGATCCGCAGGTTCACTTCCCAGCAATGCACCTCATGCATGGCCCCCACTCTTCTGTCTGGAGGCTAGTGTATTATGATGATGATCAGATTTCACTGGCGTTTCCACACTAGGTAGGACAGGCTAGAAGGAAATGCCGAGTGATCTGCTTGCAAATACCAGCCAGTGCAAACCCTGTGGATCACAGCAGTTTGGTCTACAATGATCATGGGATTTCTCAGGACTGGAAACCATTTCATTCACTTGTGCCTCGAGCCACAATGAGTCAACTCAGTGGCAGCTAGCACTAGGGGAAAATGCAGTACATCTTCAATGACATACCAACACCTTATTCTTCCGTAAGAGTCAAGATGTGGCGCTGGAGAATAAACACTTGACCACAAGGTCGGTCTGAGTCACAAGGCCGGTGGTTCAAGCTCACCAGCTGCTCCTTGTAAACCCTATACGGGGTCACTAGGAGTCAAAAAGTAGATCTGGTATAGTGGTTATGAATCGGACTGCTAACCTTAAGGTCAGCAGTTCAAAACCACCAGCTGTTCTGCGGGAGAAAGATGATGCTTTCTGCTTCTGTAAAGATTTACAGCCTCGGAAACCCTGTACAGGGTCACTATGAGTCAGAACCAACTCCATGGCACATACCACTTCAAAACTGACTCAAAGGCACAATAATTCTTAGGCAGAGTTACACAGTGGTTCTGAATTTTAAGAGTGAAACAGCACTTCTCATTTACAGTTTTCCTAAGAAATATTTTTGCTGCCTGTATAAGACAAGAGCCCTGGTGAGGCACTGTAGAATAAGCACTGGGCTGGTAACCATAGGGTCGGTGGTTCAAACCCACCAACCACTCCTTGGAAAACTTACTCAGGGTTGCTTTGAGTCAGAACCAACTTGACAACATAAGAAGAGAGGCCTTTATGAACTTAATTTTGATAACTTTTTAGTATGGATTGAACTTCAATGTAAAAAGAAAAAAAAAACAAACCCTCACCATTGAACCAATAAATATCGTGATAGAGAAAAAAATGAGGTTCCCAAAGGCTCCGTCAACACTCATGGAAACAGCAGCCAAGATATCAAACAACGTGTTGCATTAGGCAAATCTGCACATGACCTCTTAAAAGTGTTGAAAGAGCAAAGATGTCAGTTTTAGGACTAAGGCGCACCTGATCCAAACAATGATATTTTCAATAACCTCATATGCGTGTGAAAGTTGAACAATGAATAAGGAAGACTATAGAAGTATTGATGCATTTAAGTTATGGTGTTTGAAAAGTATAGTAAAAGTATCATGGGCTGCCAGAGAAACTAACACATCTGTGTTGGAAGAAGAACAGCCAGAACGTTCCTTAAAAACCAGGAAGGTGAGACTTTGTCTCTCAGACTTCAGACATATTATCAGGAGGGACCAGTTCCTGGAGAAGGACAT